GAGCTTCAGATGATTGTCTGTGTGCATCGCATGTTGCTTGGTATTTGTCCACATACTATCTATCTACCTAGCCCCTCCTGCCTGGCTTTTTGTTAATACACAGCCTTATTTGCATCAGTTAGAGTACCCCTTCTCTCGCTCTCGCCGCGCTCTATCGCACCAATTCCAGGGTAAAGATCAGTAGGCTCAGGTGTATGTGTGTGTGTCCGTAGTCCACCAAATGCATTTGTTATGTGCTTTGGAAGCTGGAGATGATACACAGCCTCAATGTTAGACCCTGCCAGTCAAACTACAGCCGTAACAGCTAAAAGATCCCCCACACATGCGCCACTTTAGAAACCAGCCTGCAGGAACACAACTCACACATCCATACACTAGCACAATGGCTGGTCAGCCCCAAAGTCCTGCAGGAAACTGGCACTTGGGGAATTCCTGCCAGGCCAGGCGATTATTGTTACCTATACTTTGTTCCTCTGTGTTGCCGGCGGGTTCGTTCGCCCCGTCTTCCCTTACCGTCTCCTCAGCCTGCCCCCTCGGTGTCTGCACCCTCTCATTCCTTCTGCGAGCTGCCATGCGTTGACTTGTGAAGCATTTAAAATAAACACTTTTAGTATCAAAAATTACCTAAGGCCATACTTTCTTTATTGGATAACATACGCTACAATTACATGACTTTATTTATTTTGGGTAGACTCATTTATACATTTTTATGTTATCATGCGGTATCAGAGCACAAATACAGATCATGCTGGTCGCAGCCTCTTAATGTGAGGGTTGTGATGAATTTTCTTTTTTTTACTTTGGTTATGAGTGAATATTTTTGGACTTTGGTTCTGTTGGTTGGGCAAAACAGCAATTTGAAGACATCGAGTATGTGGTCTTCATAGTTACCTATAGTGTAAGAATTATATGTGATGTTTTTACAGTTGGGTTATATTGTTGATACAGGCAATATTTTCCTAATGCAGATTTAAAGAATCCCGTTCCCAAATTGAATTGGTTTTATGAACGCACTTAGTATTCACTGTGAAGCTGCATTACGTAGAACACCATAAATATCTGGGACAGATGGAGAGTATTTTGGATGACTGAGCAGAACTGTCAGCAAACAACTTGACTGAGGCGTCACTGAACACAATTTTATTTTTGTCAGAGAAAGATCCATTTTTGGGGGCATTTTATGCCTTTATTTGATAGGGCCGGTGAAGACAGGAATCAGGGAGGGGGGGCATGTAGCAAAGGGCTGCAGGTTGGAATCGAACCAAGGCCGTTTCAGTAAGGACCTACATGGGCGCGTGCTCTACTAGGTAAGCTACCATGCAGCCTGTGATTCACATTTGTTAAACAACAACAATTGTTCCCCTTGTCTTGTTTCTGAGGTGGTCTAGACCTTTGGCTAAAATATTTTCACACACATACACACACACACACACATCCGAGTATGTTAAGTACTTGTTCTTGCTTTTCTTATCTAATGAGCGTCATTTGTTTGCTGCAATGCACTTTGTAACAATCTTGTTTGTTTGATAAAGCTGACTTCACACGCCAACAACAACTTCAATATCTGGGTCCTGTAAACTCTTCCCAGTAATCGCTACTGAAGAAGGGAGTGAGGATGGATGCATTTTCAAAGTGCTGTCCAAACGGGGCACATTGGTGAGTTTGGTGGGGAGAATCAATGAAACTGAACAGAAAACTCTAAACTCTCTCTCAACAGCTCAACTGTAAAGGGACAGTCATGTGTTTGTGTTGGTACATTATTATGGGTTTTAGTGGGTTTAGTATCTAGTATAGTGTCTACCTACTATACTCCATTATAGGCCTGCAAAAGTTGGAGATTACCTATATCAACTGCAGTTGAGGCCCAGTCCTCGGTTTGACAAAGGCTCGGTAAAAAAAAGTGGAACAGATGACTCGACACCTCCTGTAAATCCTGATTTTTCACAGCCTGTGATTACATGTTCGGCTAACAGCTGTGACTGATTAAGTCACACTAATGTAGCATTCATTAGAGGCTGTGATCACTGGTGGGTGTAGGTGGGCTGCAGTCATAGAAGCAGTGAAAAAAACGATCAGTGCTTACTTGGACATCAAATTAAAAGGACTTCTACGATACTGAAGGCCTTGTTAAGTAAAACTGAAAGACAAATTTCTGTATTTTGAGGTGGTACACATTTTGCGCCACACTTAAATCAACAATTGTATCTATAGTATAGATTTTTCAATCCTGATAAAATATTAAATAAAGATTATTTTCAAGGCCAACCATCCATTTCAAAGCATTTAAATCACATTTTTCTCAAATCAACTGACTTAAAAGGGAGGTAGACAATGTAGACATCTGTTGGGGTTCTGGTTAATTGTCAACATGTAATTAACATATACAAATATAGAGAACCCTAAAAATATCACATAACATGAGTTTTCAAAAGTTAAATCAAAAGCACACACCTCTTTTTCCATTGGCCTTGCCAATTTAAACAAAAATACAGACCTCACTTGTCATAAATAATGTCCTGCCAATACATTCTAAGACGGCCTCCATGAATGCTCGTAATGGAGTACTGAAAAATGTTATTGATCTATGGTTTTACTGCGCATTTGCCTGTCCCTCCACAGTGTGAGCATGTAACAATATGTTTCTGGTGGAGTCACAGTTGTCGGTTGAAGGCATAGAGAGGGTATGATCTGAGGGCTGTCTTACCTTCTTGTCCTCGTCTGGGGGTCTATCCATACACTGAGTGGAAGAGTCACTTAAGCTTTGAGACCTACTACCACGGCCCCTGCTCCTTCGCTAAAAGGTAAAGAGGAACTCCAAGTTACTGGATGAAGTCCAAAGAAAAAAAGGCTAAAATGAGACCAAAAAAAAAAAGAAAAAAGAATTCTATGATATTAAAAAATAAATAAACAAAACTTAAACTAAAAAAAAGGCTGCCTGAACTCAAGGAAAATTCAAAAACAGGCAAAAAACATTGTCACAAACATTAGTTAGAAAAATTGTTAAAAAAAAAAAAAAAAAAGCATGGAGTAGGTTATTTAAACAAAAATATATTATATCTCTACTGTAGAAAAGGCCATTACTTTTTCAACCAAATGTAACCATTAGACAAAATCATGTATCATTCATCAAGTGTAGAACTACCATGAATACTACACATAAAAAAATTAGGATTGAGGGCAACAGTAAAACCCCACACTACCATTACTTGTGTTTAAATGTTTTGCAACTTCTTTGCCAAAACAAGGCTCTAAAGAGGCATCATGGCACAGTTTTGAGGAGTCTTGGTTATCGATCTCAGCCCAAGCCAGCTAATAGTATTTGTTACCATGGTGATAAACAACTACATTCTCAAATTACAGCCATATTACCTCCAGGGAAAGATCAAGGCTTGTGTTGTCTTGTCCAGTCTCTGTTCAAAAGTACATATCTATGACCAGAGACTGTTTCTTTAGGAATTTCTTGTAAACCTTACTCAACCTGGTGCATTGTGAGATAAATCCTCCTCTTCTGGCTTCACATAGAGCTCATTGTCTGAGTCACATGGCAATTTTCTCCCTTTAAAAGTCTAAATCTGGATTTCCATGCTGACACACTGCAAGTTAACACGTACCAAAGAGTTAAGAATTTACTGCTCCGACAGAAGAACAATAAAAACCTCTTGTTAAACACTAGATTATCATTCAACCTTACAGGACAAGCATAGGAAAGAAAAACATTATGTCTCAACTTGCAAAAAAGCTAGAAGAATGAACTTTCATGGATAGATTTTCAGCTTTGTTACACTTTCCATTCAATGAATGTAACTTAACTGCACTGTAAACATGTTTTTACTGCTAAAAACCAGTCGCTTTGGAAGAGCCAGTGATAGAAAGTTATGCAACAAGGTTTGCCAATCACAGTCACAGAATATGGTTGAAACCAAATGCAACCATATGCCAGCAACACCCAGTGTAGATGATTGGAATAGTAAAGCCGATGCGTCAACGAGTGCACTTACAAATTATTCATACAGTGTTGATGAAATCTCTAGCCAAGGAGAAATTTCACTGTAGTCTACACTAAACAAGGATAATCTAAGTTTGAAATTAGATTTGGCTACTGACTGAGTCCAGTCAAATACCATATGTTGCTAACATGCCGTAAACATCCGTCAAGTGGTATTTTATAAAACCCACTCTGCTAACAACATTGCTTTCCTCGTCATTGATTCCATCTCGTACATTCCTGTCATCCATACAATCCTAGCTTAATGACATTATGCCCCAGCATCCAAAGCCATTCATACGCGATCAATATAACAGCATGGGTCTTTCCATCAGCGTTTGTTAACATTGCAAAATGTCATCTCTGTGTGTGTGTGCATTACAAAGCCTGTTTTGTGTTTCCATCCTACCACTGTTCCAGAAATCATAATAATCAAGTCACGTTCCTGTTTTTCATATTTGTGTCCCTCCCCCAGTTGATGCAGAGTGTGTACATGCACACATGTGTACACCTTGTGATACGTTGTTAACTATTGAGAGAAGTGGAACAAAATCTGGAACACAGCAGGACATCTTTCAGGGAATGTGTGTGCTGAAAACACATTTCTTCTGCATATCCAGTTGTTGGATGTGTGTTTTGATATGCCTATCCTTTTCATTCTTCTCTTATCTGACTGAATTCTGCTTGACAATGGCTAGCTATGCACCTATCAGGTTTGCATTATGCTGGCTGCATAGGCAGAGCAAGGCTAACAGACTACAAAAGATTAGGTAGATCACAGTGATAGAGGACAAGAATGTAGTAATGTAAGTTACCAGTAATGTGTTCACTTAGGAGTGATTGCCAATTGTAAATGTCTTCTTTAGGTTAACCGTAATGCTCTTTTCAATAATACTCATCTCTCTACTTTTTATTCTATACTGTCTAGAGAAAAAGTAGAAAATGCTCCTCAAACACTAATAAACTGACACTGCAACTTTTTCTTTTTTAAAACCTTGTGTCCAATTTAAACAATGCAGCACAAAAGCCACTGCTAAAACTCGTCACCAAATAATGAAAGCTAAGTGACAGGACAGGTCATTTGGAAACCTAGAAAATAAATTTGATTTCCCAAAGAATTTAAAATACATAAATAACAATTAAGCCTGATTAGCCTTGTTTGATCGTACAGTAAAAACCAGGCTCAAAAAGGACCCCATCCAGCACCTGCAAACCCAACCCGCTGTGCCCACTCTGGGCTTAGTACCAATACACAAGAGAGTAGAGGGGACGATGGGCCACTGTTAGAGAGATTAGAGGGATCAGGAAGGGAGTACGAATAATAGTAGATGAAAAGAGGTAGATGGAGGGTAAAGCACAGGTGGAAGAGAGACAAGCAGTGGGGGGATGGATTTATTGGTCCAGTGAAAGAGGAAACATATAGGAGAGAAAGATTGATGGAGGGAAAGGGGGGCAGAGGCCAACAGAGACCGGAAGCTGACTGAAGGAGAGAGAGAGGACGAGCAGGAAACCGTCAACGGAGGAAAGGTTGGAAAAAAGATGGAGAGGTGGAGGAAAGAGGAGAGTACTATTGAGGTGAAGGACGGGGAAGGAAAGTGAAGTCATTCACAGGATTTAAGGTATTTTTTCACTGTGTACAGGTAAAACAATATGTGTATTATATCTAGTCACCCATGCTTTAAGTTAGTGGAACAAAAAACACTAATAAATCCTCATACAAATTGGTAATAGGTACAGAATTCTTCAAGATACTAAGATGTATATACGTATAGTCACATGCAACAAACTGAGTGGCTGCTGCAAGGGGTTATGCACAACAGTCAGAGGGGTTTCATATTTAAATGCTCCGTTCTTGGGGAGAGACAGTGTATGCATGAGTGTAATACAAGCTAGAGAGCGAGACTTTTCATTTACTGTGGACACATGTCAAATTGTAGGTTTACAAGAACACAAGCTTGCTCCCGAGTTAACTGATGCAGTGTATGATTGATCACTGGAAACTTAATATCAAATCAAAATACAAAAAACACATTATTTGTCCTCATATGTGCAGAAATAGGATAAGGCTACAAATCAATATTTCAGCTGAGAAGAATGACATACTGTCTAGTGATGTGTAAAGTTATGGTTTAGAGTATCAAAAGACAGGCTATCTGTGGAATACAACACAAATATAAGAGGACACTTACCAATTTGCTGTGGTGGTATTTGCAATATCCACAGTACTTGACATTGTCTGCGTCCGACCCTTGTTCCTCACATAACAACCCCGCAAACTGGGCACTGCGGCAGAGAGTCGTGAAAAGGACATCAAATGAATGCAAAAAAACATCTTTTCAAAATGTGTGTGTAACACTGTAGCACAATAAGAGTCATCGTATCAACAAGAGCTGAACATGAAATATGATGCACACAAGGATGCAAAAAAAGAAGTGGCATAAAAATCCAGGTTTGCCCCTCTGAAGCAGGCTGTTTAGTCATTACAGTTTTTAAATCTCAACTCTCAAACTACAGCAACACAAGCATTCACAGGGAACTAATATGAAATGTCTTGTTGGCAGTATTAACATGTGAAAAAGGTTATCCTAAGCGCTTGAACCACTGAGATGCATGAACATTTCCACAGTATCTCAAAGGTTAACAGTATACAAATTGTAAGTCTTTTACTTGAGTCTGAGTGAAAAAACAATCTCCTTCTTTGTCTTTGTGAGATTAATGTGATGTGAATGGGTCTCACCATGTGACATGGAAGGCCTGCCTGCAGCCATGTTTGTTGCAGGTCATACAGGCTCCAGTAGCTGCTTTACTTTCTCTGCCCTGGTCCTCACAGATATAACACGTCTACACACACACAGTTAAGAGAACCATTTTATTCAAAAACAGATTCAGTTCCTTATAATTACATTATACATGGGATTTTGTTGCATGTCTAAATGCATTGATCGATTTTCTTACCTTGTTGTAGCGCTCATGTGGCACAGACTGGAGTACTATAGGCTCCATAGTTGACACGTTGGCGAATTCTACCTCGGGTATGTAAAGGGCACAAACTACATGGGCCCAGCCTGCAAAGACAGACAGAAAACCACCATCAGCCACTGCACACATGACAGCAAAATGTTGTGATGTGCATAAAGATTTATAAACCATCTGCTAATGTCTTGAACAGTAATAAAACTGTTCAGAATTTATAATTGTTATCAACTCATTTGATTTGTTGGTTGCAACTTTTACCAATGGCAAAACTGCATTGGAAATTTGAATTTTACTGCACATTCTTTAGAGTTGTAACTCCTTGGACTCTGGTGTGGATCAAACAAACCCAGACAGCCAATGATGGTCCTCCTTCTCACCCATCATGTTGCATTACATGATAGATCATCTCCTCTGACTTCATGTGCACAGTCTAAACAACGTCTGGTAGTTTTGACAAATGTTCATGTCCAGGAATTTCCTTACGAGCTCTTTGTGACCCTTAGTGAAGATAAAATAAAGCCTTCAGACGCAGTGAAAGGCAGAAGTTCTTTGAATGTGTTCCTTGTCAGTCCATGAAACTTAACTTTTGGTTAGTCATCAATGTAAAGCGGAACTGAAAAAGACCAAACACCAGCAGTGGATAATATTTCTTTGGCTCAAACACAACCTAAATGTGGTCTGGACTCGTAAATATTTTAATTTGCAAACTGGTAGTTAATCTATCTAAGTAGCCATTTATTGAGCCCTAACACACACACAGCTGCCTGTCAGTGAAGAAAAACTGGGGGCGGTGGAATGACAGTGGGGCATGGTGGAGTGGCAGTAGAATTGACGACGAGCTGAGGAGGAGCAGAAGGAGGTCAACAGGAGGTCAGATAGAGGTGGGAGTCTCCTGCCACACTGGAGGTGTCTGTTTTTCCCCATAGCGGAAACAAAAACAGGCTTAAACTTACAGTTGAACCCCTGACCTGCCTTTGACCTGGTGAGCGGGGCAGGGGGAGGACGGCAGAGGGCGGGATGGAGGGGAGGCAGCGGGTGTGAAATGGGGGCATGTTGTTGTTTTGAAGTCCCTCCAAGAATCTGGAAGACGCCTATAAAACAGGACTATAAAAGCGGCACAGCCTTCCTCCTCAAACTAAGCATTTTACCCCAACAAAGGATCTCTTTACGAACCTCCCTTTCTCCAAGAAGGTATCAAGTCCAATGTGCTGAGAGAACGACCTTCATTTTTGTTGATGCAAATCTGAAGTATGTTATGATATCAAATAAAACAAAAACAAAAAAAGAGGCAAATGGCTGTCAGTTCATGATAATGGCTTTATAGCCTTCTGTGGTAAACCACTGTAAAACCATGAGACAACACCAGGTAAAGAACAAGACTAACTTAAGTTCTTGTTGCACTTACAGTGGCGGGTCAAATGAACAGTAAAACCACATCAGTACAATCAGCAATGTCCTCATGAGTGACAGAATCAAGCTCTAATTTAAAATGTTTCATACTGCTGCCACAGTTCTAATAGTCCTAGCAGGAAGACAACAAATGATTTTACACCAAAACTCCTTAGATTTATGAATGTGACAGATATGTCTGAAACCTTTAATTGTATAAAGTCTTTTAACTTTGCATGTTATCATCTTTAACTTCTTGATAAAATGAGAGCACCGACATTTACAGGCTATCTACAACTAAAAAGACAAAAAAAAAAAAAGAGGCCAGGACAAACAACTCTGTCTTTTCTTTCTTCTCGGCCTGCTATATGTTGCTGGATCAAATACCTATTTCAGACTAATACCTTTGCTCTGCTTTATTACTGCCCCACCTGAAATAACAGCAACTACCACACAGATCAACAAGTGAAGAGGAACTGACAAGAGCACAGAAGTGCATGGTAGGGTAAAGAGATGGTGAGAGAAAAATGGGAGGAAAAAGAGAGGGAGAGAGGGGTCATGGGAAGGGTAAAATAAAAGAGAAAGTAGTAAAACGGTGTGTGTTAGTGTTGTCCTGATGCCTCCCTGCAGGCCTGGACACAATCCCACAGCTGTGCCTCTCTCTCTGACTGACTCAAACACACACACACACAGAATATTTACAGTCTCCACCAAGCTGACCTCCCAATGAACTCAGAGAGGAGACTCCTCACAGGCCATGCACTATACCCATCCTGTCCCGCCCCCTCATAAACACACACACACACAAAAAACATCGAGAATGGCAAAGAACAGGTACAAGAGAGGGCAGCACACAGCAACAAGACACAATCATACAAAAACACAACCCATAACTATAGACAGAGATACATTACAATACATATGAACATAACCAACACACACACAAAGATTCGCACGAATGCGATAAATGAACAGACATGACATGCTGGTGTGAATGCTCACTCGTGTGAGAGCTGGAGAGGACCGCGAATCCTCAACACTCCGCATAACATAAGTACACATATACATATACATATTATACGAAGAGACATACAATACAATATATATATTGTGGGAGACAAAATCAGCACTCACAGAGAGGGAATAAAAAGAAGAACACACAAAGATCAGACAAAACCGACTCGCCTCATCCTAGGTGACGGTAAACACAGCAAGTATCGACGAAATATGCCCAGCACCGATGAGATTAAGACGGAGAAAGGCAGCAAACGTCCCGAGCGCAAGACCTATTCATCTCCACGCTTACGGTTGTCTTCTTTCTTCAAACGTGTGTGTGGCTGTGTGTGTCGCTGTGTGTGTGTGTTGCTGTGTGTGTCCCAGCTACCGAGCGCGCGCCAAGCTTATTTTGCGCTGGCTCTCACCAACCCTGACCAATTGCAAACAGGCTTCGCTTACACTCACCAAAATCCAAGGCCGGTGTTGCTCATCTTAAAGGCCTCACTACATGGTTCACACTCACCAAGACATGTGTGTGTGATCTGCAACAACCACGAAAACAAGCGTGTACAGGTGTTCATATTATGAAAACTTCCAGACCTACTCAATTCTTAGTTCGTAGGCGTGGATGTTTTATTTTAAGGGTGCTGCCCCGATTGCGATGGCTTCCAAACATGATCTTGTACATCGGCTCCCGACTCAATCAAGAGCACCCTTAAAATAAAGCATCGCCCATGCCGGCTCAGCCCTTCAACAACACCGCTGGTAGCGTATTAAATGGTCAGGGCACTTGTTTTAGTTTTGCAGCAAAAGCCGAGAGATGAGCGAGAGAGAGAGAGAGAGGAGTAGAGAGAGAGAGAGAGAGAAAAAGAGAGAGGAGAGAGAAACAAGAAGAGGAGTAGATGGAAGAGAGAAATATAAAGACGAGAGAGAGAGACTGGTTGGACTGTTTAACAAGGGCAACCGGAAGGCAGGCTAAAGCACCACACGTTTCAAGTTTTCGATATGCGACATCATTAACAAACCTCCTCGTTAATGCTGCTGTGAGAACAAAATCCCGGGTGAAAACATTCAAAGCGTGAGTTGTGTTTCTTGGGAGACTTTATACAAGTCACTGCTGAAAGTAACAGAGCAGACACATACAGCCTGTATGATAGATGGAGAGAGAAGTAGAAAGAGGCAGAGCAGCCGGTGTGTACGAGGGGAAAGGGAAAACGCAAGTGCAAAGTATTTTGTGAGTAAACGATAAAAAAAAACTAAAATAAGGTGATATAAGTAAGTAGAATTTAAATGGCAAAATGACCTATAGAAATGGAAATAGGACCTCCACAGTTCCACTGTCACCATTAAGCTCTAAGCTGCTCCCAATAACCAGGAACAGGTGGCAAGTTGTGTCATATTGAACATGTTGCCTGTCAATAAATAAATACACAGTTGTCAAATCATAATTTAATAATGATATTTAATAAACAATGTCGTTAAGAATAGTAAATAATAAAAATCGAAATCCCTGATCGGAGCACCCTTACTCATCTCTACCAACTGAGATTGAAAAACAAGGATCATTGGTCATTATCTATCCCTCTTTCATTAAAGTAACAATTTGCAGGATGTTGAAAACTTTACTTTATTACATTTATTTTTCATTTTCATGAAAGCAAAATATTACCAGTTACCGGCTAACTTTGCAGACAATGTAACTCATGGAACTGCCAACACTTTTAAGTACATTTTATCACCCATATTTTGTATTTGTCTAGAATGAAAAGTTGTTTGTACACAGATTCCTTCAAGGAGAATGATGTCTGGCTGTTACTAATACTAATACTTTACTCATCAGCTTTAATGTAAAGATTTTGTACACTTGGACGCTACTTAACAGCTCTGCAATGTTCAAAGCATTTACATGTACGTGATCTTATTGTTGACTTTCTGCCATAAACTCATTTCTTAGACACCATGTAAAAGAGAAACCTTATTTATTTCATCTGGTAAAGAGGTTGGAGGAACACTTAGTTATCCTGCTAAATGTCTGCTAAAGAAACTTTGCCCTGTGCTGCCACATGAATACAGCAAGTCGGCAGATCATTCCCAGCGCTTGTATCAACAACTACAGGAGTAAATCTTGTCCTTAGAGGTTTGCCGAGGTCAGATAAAGTTTAAACTCAGCAAGCCATACCAGTTTCACAAAAAACAACAACAACAACGTCCAAAGTACGGTAGCTCTTTAACTCAATTCAGTTAAGTCCTAAGTGACATGATTCACATGAGGTGTGTGGGTGGGTGGGTGAGTAACGGTCCTGCAGCATTTGGGAATGAAGTGAATTAAGACTTTTCATGTCCACATTCCTGCCTGGACAGTATCATTTTCATGTGCTGTTATGATGCAGACTGCAGTATATAGGTCGATGTTTGCAGGCCATAGTATGCCACACACAAATTGTCTTTGGCCTCACTCAAACAGCATTTATGATCATCTTTTTTTAAAGCTTTCCAATCAGGATTAAAAACCATTTGGTGAAATATGATGGTAACTGGTACAGAATACAGGGCTGACAGGCAGGCTAAGGTCAAAGGACAGCAGGAGATGGCTCATGCCACAGAAAATCCTGCCGGTGGAGGCTGTGGTGAAAAAAAGTGGCAATAGCAGGCAGTCTGTGCAGTCTAATATAATTTCTGTACTTAAAATGCCTTTAATACTACAGCTCATACCAAGCTGTATAGGGATGTAAGATGAAACGATAGCAAGCACGTTTTAAAGTCTGATGAATGACAACAATACCAGTGTTCTGTGATAACTAGTGTAATTTAGTACAATACAACTCCGTCTTAGGTTTCTTGGTTTAAAAAAGCCAGAGAAAGCCTCTTTAAAGCCGTCAGCTTCCTGAACATCTGAACTGTTACACTGCAGTTCACCACATATATATCTACTAAGCCAAACAGTAAGGCTGGGCAATATGCCAATATTTAGTGTTCATTATCTACCACTGTAATCGCATGACATGATTTTATCTTTTTCGATATTAAATAATAAACTGTTCTTTTAAATAAACCCAAAATTCTAGTGTGGGTGCAATGTATTTCCACATGTGAGGGCATTTTAGAAAGTTTGATTTTCTTTCACCAAGCTGTCCATTTTAAATGATGCTGAACCAAAGTTAGTTAGTTTGTTCTGTTATCATCCAGCCCTGCTGTGTAGGCTGCACACAAACATTGGGAATTACAGGCGGTCCTAAATAATGACCCCTCTCCATTGCTTTGGGTTTCCTCACATAATAACGCCAATAATTGGAAACACTGGACAACTCGCATTCAGAACCGACACAAAGATGTTTTCTCATTAGCACTTCTCCTCAACATTATGTGTTAGTCCTCCCTCGAATGTTAATAACCGACACTGAACAGGACCACCAACAGTGGAAGATATGGACTACCCGTGGTGATGAAACATTACAATGTCTTCAAAAATACTTTGTGTTATTTTAACTTTTTGTCCGTTTGTTCCAAGCTATTTGAAAAGACACATGATACAAGACCTAACCTGGCACTATTTTCTTTACAAATGATCGCAGAGAGATAGGCGTTATTCCAAGAGTTCACTCATAACTGATGAATGGATAGATGGATTGTGTGACTCACCACGCGGGCTGCTCTCTCCTGAGATTCACACTTTCTGCAGAACCAAGGACCAGTGGGCACCTGCACGATGCCATAGCAGGCTGAAGAGAGACACAGGGGCATTAAAGTAAGTCACAACAACCAAAACAAAAGACTACATTTTATACTACAGAATACACTTGATAACATCTTTACAAATATCTCCACTTCCAACTATTGTGCCAAAAGGCAAACTTGTATCTGAATTAACTGGTCTGAATGCAGAACAGTGTTTTGACATACTGCTGAACACACTACTGTAGGGTTGAGCCATGTGTTCAAATTTTCCAACCAGCAACCGTCAGTCCAACATTTGCCAATTTCCGTTATATTCATGTGCGTGTGTGCTGCGCAAGTGCCCCCAGACACCCCATAATCACCGTCCCAGTGGTTTCAGCTGGGAGAAAAGCGGCAAGTTCACTACGTGCGACAAGCTCTAAAAGTGTTAATGAAGAAAATAAACTCACCAAATGTCAAGAAAGGAAGGTAAAAAAAAGCAACTATTTTCCTCATTAAACAGAAAAAAATACAACCGTACAGCTCCTGAATTCAAGTTTCTCTCTTGTACCGAACGAAGACCCTATTTAGATCTGATCTTAAAACATACTCAACAGAAACAATTTTTAGTCTTTCCACTATTCCAACAATTACCAACTCTGGTGTCTCATCCATTCTGGCTCTATGTGCTGGCCCCGACCCCCTCAGCTCCTCTACCCACTTCATGGCTCTCCTCTCCTGTCCTGTGTCCTCATCTTCCCCAGAGTTGGAGACTTGTTTGGAGCCTCTGTGAATCACCTTGTAATTGTATTTCCCAGTAGTCGAAATAAACCCTTAATTAACAGCAGTTAGATGTGAAAATACACTGGCTCTACAGCTGTTTATCCTCTCACTCATTCTGTGGCGCAGTAGCCATCTGTCACTGAGCGGATCTCATCCTTCAGAGGAAGATCACTAAATTAGCACATAAAAGGACAAAAATAGCACACAAAAAATCAGTTTTAAAAAAAAGTGTCCAATCACCCAATCCTACACTACTGTTGTCTTTATATCACGCTACTGACAGCTGACAGGGTTTGCCGGTGCTACAACATGTTTTAAGCCCCAGAAACAATGGCAGAATCATTGGTATTGTTAATGTCAACACACATAGTTATCAATGATAATTCTTTGTTAGGTGTGTCAGCAACACACGTAACACAACCTTGTTGTACCACATAAAGAGAGATCGCATTCAAACAGCCCACAATCTTTACTTGATCGCCTTCACACATTGCTATGAAACAGGTTGAAGAAAGTTGTCAGAGATATGAAAATACTCACAATGACACAAGTTGCTGCTGTGTGGGCGCTGCATGAACAGGGCCACAATGCTACAGAGGACTTGGTTGATATCGCTTTACTTTCATACTTTCTACAAAGTTCTGTCAATTCTTAATATTTTGACACTCTGTTAGCAACCAGTATGGTTTACAAGACACAAGTGCAATTTTAAACCCACTTTCTTTCACTGAGTTATAACCTGATTTCAATGATCCTTACGTGACTCAGACTTGAAGTTGCAGTACAGGCGTTGCTACCCTACATGCAGCTGCACTACCCTAAATAGCCTACCTCTACACATTTTCAGATTATCTCTGATCTGACCGGAGCCCATAATCCAATGAAATAAACAGCTATAATCCAGATTTCTGAGAACAACACATCCAAAGGTTACTGAGTTCAAGTGAAGACACTGGTGACCAGAGAAACAAAACATCAAGCCGTGTTTGGTGAAGACATTCTGCACATACTGCCAACCTGTTTTATTTTAATAAATTATGGCTAGTTGATCCAATTTACTTATTTTTATTTTTGAAATGCTACCCAATGCCACAGTGTGTGAATGCTTTATTGTTATTTTAAGATTCAGAGGAGCACTCAAGCACACAGGAGACATGATTTTATTAATTATACATTTGTCAACAAATGTGAAGAGATTGTGCTTGTTATTGAGAGTGTACAGCCACTACACTAGGTAATCTAGGTACACCCAAACCTCAGGTGCAATCAATATACAAGCACATTCACATAAGAAAAATTACAAAATTAAAGAGACCTTAAAATGCCATCCTTTATGCTAAAAACATGTTTTGACTGTGCTGTTGATGAATACTTTTGTCCTACAATGCAACATGTAAAACGTTTTTGAAAGATGACAGTCAGAAAAAAGAGCATCAAACAGCGACAGCGCTGGAGCATCAAAATATCGTTTTTTAACGTTTGAAATGACGCATACGTACTTACCTATGTATTCATTTTATGTGCACTGCAATACAATATTACAACTTCTCTTCTAAAATATTCTTTCAACATTAGTTTATAGTATGTATTCTGTAGTATTAGTATACAGTGTGAAATTCTGACTCGGTGAAGCACTACTGATCTTAATTAGGCTTACAACATTTTACATTTTCTTTATATACAAATTATTAACTTTCATTGATTAAATAAATGCCAGTGTTCTGGTATGTAAATTATTCAAATGTCTGTTGGTTCCTTAATTTCAGCGGTTCAGTGGCAGATCAGGACAAGGTAAGGCATGAAATGACAGAGCTCTGTTGCTTATCTGAATGAAAACCCTTTCTATTGTTAACTAGAACAGTGCAGCTTATCTGTTACCATCAATTCACTAGAGGAGATAGATGTGGCTTTTAAGCTTAAGGTTGCCTGTGAGCCCTTCCAACCATTATAAAAATATGTGTCTCTGCAAAGCATGACACTTGACATAAACGATACATAATACGATGCCCTGCATTGTTTCTTATTAGGGGTCTGATATCCAAAAGATTCCACACCTCAGCACAGCTTTCAATGTTTAGTAATAGCTGAAGCTTCAAAACTGTCATTCTGGACAGACCCTGAGGGATAAAAGCATTAGGTATTTGATGATTGATGGGGTACATTTGATATTGAGAGTGTCAAATTCCATTAAAAATACATTTCCTATCCAATTCTCTCACTAGTTTCAAAACGTGCTTAATCTTAAGCAAACTGATACCATGTTTTCTACACAGTCACGAAGCTTGACAGGCTGGGGCTCGGACAAAATGACGCAACCTTCATGCAAAATATTAAAAAGTATGAGATTTGGAACAATTTGAATCTCTAATGATAAAAATCCCAAGTCACATCTCTACTAATACTGCTTAAGGTTTGTTTCTGCAACTTTAAACCAACAAAGACAAAACTTCTGGGTCAAACAGACTTAACATTTGACTAAGTTCTGACTCATGTGAGAGTTTAGCTGTCAGACCTATTCAACAGTCCAAACTCTGCAACAAATTGCTACAAACAAACCCCTGTTACAAGCGCCAATACACCGGAATGCATCTGCAATGTGTGCAGAGTTGCTGACATTTCAAATGAACACATGGCCAGCTGGTAAATTTGTAAACACTGGACGTCATCATGAGTCATCTTGGCAGCCCATCTCTGTCACTATACTAGAAGCGAACATGTAGACATCAGAAGTCACGATTTTGCTGCTTGAACTGTACCCAAGTCTGGACCCCAAGGAATAAAAAGCAGCGTGCAAGTAAGTTGTCCCTCTGTGTGTCATGTAGTTTGGACTATTTTATTGTAAACAGTGGGCCGAATGACATATTTTAAGGTATCCCTCCCTCCCTCTCTCTCTCTCTCCCTCTCCCTCTCTTTCTCTCTC